TATTAATTCATGAGGACAGAACTCTTCCCTTATTAAGTACATCTGCTTTTAGGGTGCCAATGGTAGCTCATGGAAAGAGCACAAGATTCAAAGTTTCAGACTTAAAACATTAATACTCACCAACTCACTGTGAAGCTTTTTATTTTGCTCAAGGGCAGAATCCTTTTCCTTGGTCAATTTTGTAATCAAAGCCGACAGCTGGATTAGAGAAAGGGACGTGGTTATTCAGCCAGGCACAACAATTACAAGTGAAATCCAAAGATAGATTGCATTCTCATTGAACAAGTAACATGATACCAGGAAGGCTGGGACAATCACTAGTTCACACTAAAAACAAGCTAAATTATAAGATGTTCATGCAACCAATGCCAGCTGTATGATGTCTATGGTGAACTAGAAGGATGGCCAAGACAATAAGATCTAAAGCAAATTAAATGGACGGACAACAATACCCATGTGTGCACAGTTAAAAAAAATCATAAATACACTTAATCATATAATTCCAATATGAAGCAACTAAAAATCGATCATATGCCTTATTCTTAGTAGAGGAAACATATTATTACACAATTGTTCCTAACAATTAACAAGCTATAGAGCAATGAATGGGTAGAATTGGCAAGGATCAAAATGTTTCAAATAAGTATCTTCAGTATTTTACTTGCCATGTGACCTGGCTGTTAGTATAGCACACAGAACAACTACTAAGGAAGACAAGAGCTGCCAAACTGCTTTGGAAGGCAAAAGAACTCACCTCAAGGGACTGTGCATCAGGCCCTGTATATGTTCTTGTTTCCTGCAGTTTCATGTCAGAAAGGCAAACAACCAACATGTTAAAATTATACAAAAGAAAACTATAGAGCATAGAACTCATATAGCACATACAGCAGCATGTCCTGCAGCCCTCAGTAATTCTTCAGTCCTTACAACTGGTCCAGTAGGTGATCCCACCTCCTGAAAACACATCATTTATGTCCTTAGGGACTCACACTAATAGAAGAAATATCAAGTATGAACATTTAGTAGACTTACTGTCCCCAGCTCAGCTGATCTCAAGGATACCGAGCCACTCGACAGCTCTGAGGCGCTCCTCCCATGATCCGCAATTCGCTGCATAGGCACCAAGATACGCTGTGGCCCATCGCTTTCCTCCGCAATCTCTAACGACGATTCGGTTGGCATCACATAAGTGACCCTCATCCTCACCTCCTCAACAGCGTTACCCCCTTGTTTCATGAACTAGGAAACCCACAAGTTCATTATCAACTGAAAGCCATCAACCACATCAAAACTACACTCTAATCCAGTACTACCATTACCATTTGAGGGATGATGTCCTTGGCCGATAAGCGATCGGCGACGACCACGCTTTGCACCAAGAATTTGTCCTTGCACTGCAAGTCTGGTGGTGCAACAGTCTGGGCTTGCATCGTCACTGGTCCACACAAAACGCGTTGAAACATCTCCATTAAAATGAAACAGAAGAAAGCCTGAAATTGAGCAGTTTCTTGAGCTCTGTCTGGTCCAGTGAACACAACAACAACAAGACAGTACCTACAACTTCGCAGGTGGACCGCGGCCGCACGACGCCATTGTTGGGGCGCACGCAGTACTTCTTGGGGGTCGTCGTCTTAACCTACTACCCGGACGCATCACAGAGGCACCAAGAAAAGCATAACTCGTAAGAGGATCCCTCAAGAAGCTAAAGCGACAGGATTTTCTAGGGTTTAAACACGGCGGTTAACAGGAGAATCACCTTGAAGGCGACGGTTCTGTCGGTCTTGTTGATCATCTTGAGGGGGCAGGAGATCTGCTTGTCGAGCTCGACTGGGCATGACAGGAAATCGCAGAGGGGTCAGCGGGAAATTTCAGGAGAAAAGCAATCTGAAGCGAGAGGAGGGTAGCAAGGGGAGCTTGGCGGCGAGAGGAGCGGGGAGCTTACAGGGGAACTGGAGCTCGGGCGGGTCGACGTCGAGGAGGTCGCTGGAGGCGGCCATGGCTGCTGTGCCCGCGGAGGAAGGGGAAGTGGCGGTGGGAAAAGGGAGCACAGGGTGCTGGACCGCTGGGGCCGTTGCTTCTTTGCCTCTTTGGGTTTGGATGCAAATTTCCGTGGAGTTTTATGTTTGGCTAATTGGTTTGAAAACTCTGTGCGTGGTGAGAATGTCTTTCTATGATTTCATACTTGGGGCCTGTTTGGATACCGTTTCCATTCTAAATACACTTGTAAAAAATACAGGCATCCGCCGTCGTTTTAGTTTCTGCCCGAAAATTGCTCTTGGCCGGTAAGTTACCCGTAAGTAAAAGACACACGTATTAAATTACATCCATTCCAAGCGTTGCCTTATTATTCCGTCCGCTTCAAATTATGAGATGTTTCGAATATTTTAATATAGATTATATATGAACTGAAATGAATGAACGAATGCATAAACGTATCTATATACATATACATTTAGAAAAAAAAAGGTAGAGCATCTTATAATTCGGAACTTATTAGCAAGTGATATCAAGGGTTTTGGTCTTTCACTTGCACTAATTGTGCAATATACATTGCTGATACGTTTTGTGCGGATGATGTATTGCCATGCAACACAGTGTAATTTAGAAAGAGCTGGAATAATATGCTCAACTTTTAAATAAGAAGTTGCATTATGACTTTGTAATTTGATTGCCTTTTTCTAACTAAATGATAAGTGCCACACGTATGGCACAAAGCACTTCGGCCCTGGCGTTTTCTACAACTAAGGTTGCCATCCAAAAAGGAAAAAACAAACCTAAAAAAGAATTGAATTTGACATTAAAAAAAGTTGCCATGCTTGATAACTAAAGTTGCCATCATTTCGTCACTAAACGTGCCATAAAAAAATTCAAAGTTGCCATGTGTTTGTGCTACACGTGTGGCACTTATCAAGTTTTTTTTAATGTTACTGTCTTTTTCTTTAGTTGACTTAGTATATGCATGGCTCTATCATGGATCATGAAAAATGCACCACCTACTTTTGTCAAATACGTATTAGTTACCTTTATTCTCTTTTTCCCTGTGAAACTTCTCTATAATGGATGGCTACTTCTTTCTGGTATTTATACTCAAAATTTCAGTTTCAGCTCAGTTCTATGATTATGGCTACGATCCTCATAATTATTGCACGCATTGGAGGGTTGTGGGTACAGTTTTCAAGCGTAATATCAAAGATGCTCACAAACTTAATATTGTCGATCATAATCGACATCGACGAGAACCAGAAAGTCTTGCGCTTTTGATCAATGTCAATGGAAAGAATTAGGAATAATCATTAAATTGGATTCCTCTGCTAGAAATATTTTAGTTCTAGTATACTACTATCTTATAGCCTACCATTTCTTTAATGCAATTAAATATTTGAAAACGGATAGAGTATTAGGTCGTGAAATTATGAAGTGTTTTTTAAGATAAACGCATGCAGAGTTTCAACACTTTTTTTTGCGATCATTAAAGAACCCTTAAGATGTGATAAGATGGTTGCCCATTGATTCCGTAAGTTCACATCACCATACCACTGGGAAGTGTGACCACTCATGAAGTTATTGCTACTTATCGTTATTCTACTCGCCAAAAAATGATAGTGATGTCAATCAACAATTAAACAAAACATGAAGGAACGATGCAGTGTTATATGTAATGTGTAAAATATCTGTAATGTGTATAAATAACGAATCATAAATCTCTAGGATCCTCTTGTGGAATCAGGAAATCTATTATAGATTATTTCCAGAAATATACTCACCAAAAGGTAATATACTTTCTGTTGTTACCCTGTCGTTCTCACTCGAGTTGGCATCACATTCAGAATAAATGGAAAGATATGCACGCATCCTCTCGAGAGACAAGGAAAAAGGAATAAATGGACATGGATGGGCTTGCAGATGGTTTTGTCAAAATGATATGTCAAGTGAACACATTTATGGCTTTGACAATTCCTGACCATCTAATCGTTCGTGTTGTATCATGTTGCATCTCAGTAATCTATATATTTCCTTTTGCAAATTAGATAGTTGACACTCCACCGAAAATTCTTGTCATCAAAATGGATAAAAAAATGTATCTAAAACTAAAATACGTCAATAATACATCCTTTTTATTACAAAAAGACTTTTGTCCCGCTTTATATATAAAGCAATGACCGACCACAACTAAGATACAAACACACGCCACCACAACACACGCACACACCCAAGGCTGGATACATAGACGCTGAGCGCAGCAACACTACCCCATAGTATTACAAGAGCAACTGGAGTCCTCAACCGTGGACACGCCAACGCGAAGAGAAGAAGCCACATATGACGAACCGTGTGCTCCAAGGCGGCGCCTTCAGGAAGGTTACGACACCAGAGCGTCATCACCGTCCGACCCGAGGATCAGAGTTTCCCCTGGAGCAACACGACGAGCAATGAGAGCCGCGACAACGCCTTCAAGAAGGGAGCGAGCTTCGATGCCGCTAGTCCGTCCGAAGACAGATCAGGTTTTCACCCCGGTCAACACTCACCACCACCGGACGCCACATCCCATTGACCACGCCGCCCATGCCGCCCACACAGCCATGGCCACCGGGCAGCACCTAACCACGGGCTCTGCCCAAGAGCATCACGGAGCCACCACCATGGCCGCCGTCCTGGCATCCAAGACCTGGACACCACTTCACTCGAGACCCACCACTACCCCAACCAAAGATACGAGCGGAAAGGAACCGCCTTTCGTACCCCTGGGCTGCCCCCAACGCCGAAACCCAAAGGCCGGTCAAAATTGGCCTCCATCGACCCGTCCTGCTGCCGGGCACGAGACGAGCATGGTCCTGCTTCCGGGCGCGAGACAAGCATGATCCTGCTGTCGGGCGCGACCGAGGCGCGAGACAAGGTCGGTCCTGCTGGCGGGTACGAGACGAGCTCGGTCCTGCTGCCGAGCGCAAGACAAGGTCGGTCCTGTTGCCGGGCGCGAGACGAGCTCGGTCCTGCTGTCGAGCGCGAGACAAGCGATGGACCGTAGTCGGGGGAGGGCCGAACCTTCGACGAAGGTAGCAACCAGACGACGAGGAGAGTGTCGAAGGTCGAACCGGCCTACAGACAAGCCGACGCCGGAAAGCCAGTTGCTGCCCCAGTCGACCCACCGAGCTGCCGTGGAGCCGGCAAGGCAAAGCCACCTCGCCGCCACCGCCCACAGCCGGGACCGCAGCCACACCGGGCCGGGGCCCCAAACTCGCGCCGCCGGCCGGAAAAGAAGGCGAAATCCGGCCGGCACGCATCACCACAACCGCCACCATGCCGACGATGACGAGCGCATCAGCCCCCGCACGCCGCCGGCAGGCCCTTGCCACCTCAGCCCGCACCGCCTGCTGGTCATCGACTAGAGCAACCACCCAATCCAGATCTGGCGAGGAGCTCGCCGCCGCCACCCCTGCAGGCACGCCCCATCGCGCCCCTGATGTACAGCCGCCCGCGCCGCCAACCTTGACCGCCACCGCCGTGCCACCCCGGCCGCCGCCACGCCGCGCCGTGACGCCGTCCTGCGCGGGACCACCGCGAGGAAGGGGAAGATGCACCGACGCCGGACTGGCTTGCCCGGCGGCGTGAACCGACGGCGGCGAGGGAGAGGGGGGAGGGGAGGGGGCTGGAGGAGATGAGCTAGGGGTCGCCTCGCCGCTTATCCATTTTGATGACAAGTATTTCCGGACGGAGGGAGTAGTATATAGCTACTTTGTATCCATCTCATACTTTATATGTTGTTGGTTGTCACATTGCAGGCAGTCACGTCCAAACTTCTATTTTCGTCTTTCTTTTAACAAAGTATAATTGGAGAAGCTCACATGCACTCACATACATTCATCCTATGAACTATTGGACGCGCATCTTACCTCTATGAGCCCCTCTAAAATACTGAGCCGATAGGATCTTTGTAGTCGACGAGAATGTCGCCACGCACAAATCGAACGAACGTCACCGAAAAGACTGAAATAATCCAAAAAATGTGTATACTGCTGTCAAGTCTAAGAGTTGAATTCTGATGGGCTGGTTCCACCACAAAAAATCTAACCATTTAATTACGCCCATTTCGCATTTTTGAGGAGGCTGCCTTCAGCACTCCATCTCATTTCTTGTGTCGTCTTTAGAATAAGTAGATTACGAGTAGCGGGTGCAAATGCCCACACGTTACTAGTAAGCTTGCACCTACAAGCAATTCGTCAGTAATGCCCCCTCGATTGTTGTATCAAGCCATGGTTGCATCATAAACTCTTTGTATATTGTAAAAAGAAAAACAATTACATACTAATATATTAAAGTCATATTACATATGTAAATTGCGATACCCACAGGGCTAAGATTCTAGGTCTGCCACAAACAATTTGACGACCTTGAGAAAAACACCAGCTATTTCGCAACGCGTGTCAATGATTTGGCGGCCCGGGGGGCGCATGCAGGCAATCGTGTACGTAGGCGGACAAACGAGACCAAATTTATTATTATCCCGATCGTAAGCTACCTCCTCAAACCACAGATGCAGTGCACGTATATTCCATCATCATTGGGGCATTATATTGCTTCGCTGTGAGATGCTGTAGCGTTAAATGGTTTGCTTTTAGGAGGAGTGCGTGCGTGCGTGTACCGGACCAAAAGAAGGGACGACGCGGGAACGTTTGGTGGCGATGCACTGAACGGGAACGAGTTATTACGAGCGCCTCGCCGCGGCTGCCACGAGCGGCTCCCTGTCTTGCGCTGCCTGCCCTGCACACGAACACACGCCACAGCGGTAGGAACGAATTAGATCGCGGCTGGGCTACCGGGGGCAGATAAATACATGTTCGAAACCATCAGGGTATTTATTTCTTGTATAAAGGTTACGTCTCACCTTCTCCGAGGGAAAAAATTACGCAAGTACGTCCGTGCTTTTTTAGAATTTTTTTTAAACCGTCCGCTTGAAATTACAAATCATTTTCACCATCATGTTCTCGCGTTGAAATCTTTA